GCACAGAGACCGCAGCCTCGGGCGACCGTGGCCGGCGCGGGCTGGGCCTCCCCTCCCGGCTCCGGGCGGCCCGCGGCCCACGCCCCGCGCCTCGGCCCGCCGAGCCCCTCCTCCTGCCCCGCTCCTCCCGGCGCCCGCTCCCCACGGCGCGGGCCGCGCGCCCGTTACCTGCCGAGCGCCGGGGGGCCTGCTGCTTCCTCCTCGGCATGCTGCTCGGGCCGCCGCAGCCGTCGCCTCAGCCGCCGCCGGAGTTCGCGGGGCGCGGGGACGCGGGGCCCCGGGCGCGGGCGCAACTCCGCGGCGCGCCCAACTTTGGCCTCGTCCCCGCGGGCTCCGGGCTCCGGGCGCGCCGCGGACCGCGGGGAGCCGCTCGCATGGACCGCCGCGCCCGGGGCCGCTCAGGAGGCGGCGGCGGCGGCCGCGCGGGCCGCGTCCCGGCCGCCGGGCTGCGGGCGGAGCGCGCGGGGCCTGGGCGCCGAGCCCGGAGTCATCCCCGGCGCGGGCCGCGGGCGCAGCGGCGGGCGCTCGGCGGGCCGGCCCGCGGCCCGCGCTCCATGCTGCCGCCTCCCCGCCGCCGCGCTGCTGCTGGGCGGGCGCTCGTCCGGGCGCGCCGCTCCGGGCGCTCCCCTGCGCCTTCCTCCGCGAGCCGAGAGTCTCCGAGCGCAACTTTCTCTGCCCCTCGCTCCTCGCTGTTTGGGGGTCGCGGCGGGCGTTTTAGTGCGCGGGTCGCAGCTTTCTCATTGTGCGCCAGCGAGGCCGATCCAGGCTGTCCTTTTCCTCCCCGCACTTAGTCTAGGAGGAAGAAAGCAAACAAGACAGAGGAGTGAAGCCCCCGTACATACATGCGCCGGGGGGAGATGTCAGGCGCTGCTCCACCTTCCCAACAGTCACAGATCAAACAGTGTCACCGCTGGAGCGCCACTTTGTGCCCCTCGCTTCCCCGGGGGCTTTGCCGCCAGGATCGCCGCTTCTTCCAATGCGAAATCTAATGCAAACACATTTGGATCATGGATTTTTGGCCGGTCTTGATCTTCCAACAGAAAAATTTTTGAAAAATACACAAAAAGCACCCCCCTTCAAAAAAAAAAAAGCCAACAACAACCTGGAGAATGTGTGCAAAGGGGGTGAAGAGCAGACATTCACTGGGTGGGCGAGGTGAGCGTGGACGGTTCCCCCCCAAACTCCTGGGAGAGAGGGAGATGCACTCTCGCTCTCTCCGCTTTTCAGTGAAATATAACACACATTCGGATCGCAGAGCTTTCAGACAGTCTCAACTGATAGACAGACACATCGAGCTGCTTTTCCTGCTTCAGTTTTTACTCCTCCTCCTCTCGCCAACGTCACCCTGACAATTACAAATAGGTCTCACACAAACCATACCTGTCAATCTTTTTAATTGCTTTGTTTTCTTTTTTTTTTTTTATCCCGGAGCTAAACAATATGACACAAAAAAGAAATCTTAATACAGCATAACATAAAAGATTGCACATTGGAGGAAGACATTCAGGGGGTTGTTATTGTAATCCACTGGCTGATACTGGGTAAAACCCATGTGTTCTAAGTTAAGTAGACATTAGTTCCTGTAGATTTTTAAACCTGTTAGTCCCCACACACACTCACTTGTACTCATACACACGCACCCACGTGGATCCAAACTACCCTTGGATGAAGTATGTCCTACGTTTGAAAAAAAAAATCCCCATGTCACTTTTGCAATCTCAGTTTGGGGGTTATGTTTGCTTGGGGAGGATCCCTGTGTAGCTTTTATATCTTGGTAATTCTTGGGTAAGTGGGAAACTAGAGATTTTTTAAATTACAACATATATTTTAGAAAAAAATTTAAAGACGGTCTTACTTTATCACAGAAAACCGTGGAAATATTTAATTTGGCCCCCTATGAAAAGTGAATTGATTACTTCGTCAATACACACAATTAGGCAGAAAACTGACAACGATGGAGCTGCAGATCTTTCTAGCTGGGTTAGAAAATGAGGTCTTCATACATCAGTGCAACGTCTCCAATTGAATTAAGTCCCTCGGCATCCCCACCTAGAACTTTAAAATGTTTATGTGTCCTGGGAATTTCGCTTTCTAGTTTTCAATATGTGTGTTCTCTCCCAGTGGGATACCTGTAACAGCCTTGTACAGCTACTTAAAACATTCATGGAGAAACACGAAATCTAGGCCAAAATAAATGAAATGGCTTAGTTCGTGCAACTTGCATGGGACAGACCGAAGACAGAAGGCACGGGCGAGCCGTTCAGGGGACGGGAAGCCGCGAGCCTGGGTCGCAGGGTGCACTGGGCGCCCCCCTGCCCGCGGCCGGGTCTCGTGCGCGAGCACAGGCGGCGGGGACTCCCCGCCCGGCCCGGGGCCCCCGGCCGTGCCCCGCCGCCCCGGCCGCGCTCGGGGTTGATTCGTACCACCTTGCAAGGAAGTGAACGCTTCGCACGGGAAGGGGAGGCGCCTGCGCCGGCCGCCGGGCGCCGCGCCGCTCCGGGGACGCCCGGGGCTGCCGCCGGCTCGGGGCCGCGGACGATCGCCCGACGCGCGAGTCCCCTAACTACCCGCCCCCCCTAGAGAAGTCAAATCCGGCTTTTGGAGCCCGAGCCTGGGGAGGGTGGGGATATCCGGTGCCTCTCCCGCGCCAGGAGGAAGGGGGAGGGCGGAGAGGATCCTTGGCCAGTCTGCGCCGAGCAGATTCAAACCAAAACAAAAAGATTAAAGGAGCAGCGGCCGGGGCAGCCGTGCTCCCCGGCTTGGACACCCGGCTGGCGCGCCCGGGTTTCGCCGGGGCTGTGCCGACGCGGGGCGCGGCGCGCGGCGGGGCTGGGGGCGGGGGGAGCGGGAGCCGGGCGTAGCGGGGGGAGCCGAGGGGAGGGCGCCGGCCGGAGGAGGGGCGGACCCGCCCGCTCCGCCCGCCCGCGCTGAGCCGAGCCGCCCGGGCTGGGCGCGACCCCGGCCAGCAGCGGCGCAGAGAGCCGGCGGAGGCGCGGGCCATGCTGCGGCTGGCGCCGGCCGGGGCGCGGGCCATCGTGGACATGTCGTACGCTCGCCACTTCCTGGACTTCCAGGGCTCCGCCATTCCCCAAGCCATGCAGAAGCTGGTGGTGACCCAGCTGAGCCCCAACTTCCGCGAGGCCGTCACCCTGCGCCGGGACTGCCCGGTGCCGCTCCCCGGGGACGGAGACCTCCTCGTCCGGAACCGGTGAGCCCGGCGCGCCCCCTCGCCCCGGCCCCCGCCCCAGTCACGGTCCCCGGCCCGCGCAGCGCCGCTCCGGCTGTCCCGGGCCCGCCCGCGTGCCACACTCCGGCGAGCGCTCAGGCGCACAGCCCGACTTTGCGAGATCCCGGGAAGTTGAACCCGCCGCCATCTGGCGAAGGCGAATGTAATGTGACTTGCTAGTGTGAATATCCGATGCCACCGAACGTCCTCGTAACTGAGGGTTATTTTAATTTGGGATTCCCCTCCCCTCCTCCAGCCCTCCCTCCTCCCCCTCCCGCTCCCGAAATAAAACCGACGGGACCCAGAAGGGGAGGCTCCCCGCCGGCCCACCCGCGCGAACCCACGGTTCCTGCATTGACATAATCTTTAGGGTGGAGCAGGAACAGCCTGGACACAAGCTGCGACGTTTAGGTAAACGTGCTTTGGAGGAAGGAGGCTGGGGACCCGGCTGGCTTTTCCTGTCCCCTCCAGGTTGGCAGCCGCCTCGAAATGGCGGAGGCTGTCGTTGGGTGTGTTGGTGTGCACCTCACCGGTGCTGTCTGCCTGTTGTCAGTGCCGTGTGACTGTTGTCTGTCCCCTGAGTGTCACGACAGGCGCCTGGCGCGTGCCCGGGGCAGCTGGGCCAGGGCTGGGTTGGGGGCATGGCTGCCTTTGCCTGCAGGTTTTGCAGACATTTGGGTGGCACCCGGGTGGTTGCCGGACCTTCCGTCTCTTCCACCCCCACGCTCCCCACCTTAATGTGTTTCCACCTCACTAATCTTTAGTAACTGGCGAAGCAACAGGAAGGCAAGGACCTCATTCTGTGCCGGAGTCTTGCCGGCTGGAGGCTCTGCTCCGTGGGTCCCGAGGCTGCCCGACTAGGCAGGAGAGGTGCTCCTCTGTGCCCTTTGGCCTGCTAAGTCCCACCGGAACGGTTACAGTGCTGCATATTTCAGGTTGAATAATATTATCATATTATCGAAGGGAGGCGTAAGTTCTGGCTGCAACTAAGTTGTAAATTGTGTGCTAGAAAGTACAGTAAGTCCCCTGCAGGGACTGAAGGACAGGACAAAAGGTACCTTTCCTAAGTAGTTTGGTGCAGCATTTAATCAGGTCCACTTTAGAGATTCATATCAGGCTTCCAGACAAGACTGTAGGATTGAAGAATGCTCATCAGGATATAAAACTTTCGGAAACTTGTTGGGAGCAGTGATTGAGTGAACCATGGGTGGGACTGAGTTGGGGGGCTGTAGGGGCTGCCTTAAAGAGTAGTGTGTGTGTGTCCTTGAAAATGTTCCATGTGCCGTGGACCCGCGGTGTGGAGGGTTGCTTCATTAAGTGATGAAATACTAGTGCTGTGGAGAGGAAGCATAAGCCTTGCCAAGTTAGAGAGGGGCTTGAGTGTGTGTTCACAGAGAACGTGCAAAATGCACAGTGGTTCCCTGGGAGTTGAGACCAGATTGAAAAGCTTTCCAAACAAACTTCAATGGGCAAAAAGTTCCACTCGGGCTTTTTTTTTTTTTATCTTGGTGATAAAGTATACTGTTGACTGTGAACACTACTATAAACACACACACAACTGCGTTCATAAAATTCCTTTTAGAAACTGGGTGTGAAATGGGGAGGGGGCGACAGAGGGGACAGACGGGAGAAGGTGTGAAGTTAGAGCACTGCAGGCAACAGCCCAGTGGGACCACCCGCCCTCAGCCCTCAGTGGGGACTGCTCCCGCTGGGCTGAGCGGGTCTCCTGGGCCTCTCTACCTGCAGGTGTTAACCACCTCCTAGGGTCCTTTCCCTCCTCGGATTCCTCTCCCTGCCCCGACGGGCTGCTCTCCCCCAGCAGTGGCGGCGGGCCGCTGGTGTGCCCTGGTGCCGCCTGCACAGGGTCACCAGGGCTGGTCCCAAGGTGAGAACAACGTGGATCCCTGAATTCAGTGGTCAGAGCGCGGGAGCACCAGCACCCATGTCTGTAGCTCGTCAGTTTGGATTGCTTTAAAATCCATGCCTCTTTTGTCCCTCCACATAAGTCAAGAATGCCTGTAATATAAATGGTATATCTATATAAGCAACTTGACCTCTAACTTCTACCTTGAATCTGTAACAGAAAAGAATGGGGCCAGTTCTCTTCTAGTTGGGAGGGGGCAGAATCTTGCCCCCCCCCCGGAAAATCTACTCCTATCACCAAATTGTAGAAAAATGCTTTATTCTTGCAAACATTGTCAGTGGAAGTGGCATTTTACCGAATTTTTTTAAAAATAGAGGTGTAGTAATTCACTGAAGGTTAGTTCATTTTAATCCTGGACTAAATCTCCCCTGAGCAGTGTTAATTGCATCAAATTTTTGCTCAAGCACTTCTCATTTTTAACATAATAAAATCTGCTCTAGAATGAATGGATTAAGCCTAAATTCACTTGTTTGAAAAGGTGGTGGTTTTAATTGTGCTCATCTGACTTTTTCTTTCAGTGAACCACTTGCATATTTCATTTCCATCTTAACAGAAAATACGAATTCTTCATTCACAGGGAGGGAAGTGCTTGTAAGCTAGACACCGATTTAGGATAACAAAGTTTACCGTTTAGAAGAGCTACGAAGGGAAGTATAAAATCACTGTAGAGTGTATAATTGATAGTCCTTTATCCAGTTCTCACCTTACTGTTTTGTGGATCTGAGTTCACATGTTTCCCTCTATGCTCAGCCCTGGGGGTGGGGGAAGAAAGGGAGAGAGACACCCCCAGGTTAAGTCAGTTTATGCACTATTTTTAGCTTTTTTCGTAAGAAGGTGACAGATTATTTCGTTTCCAAATATTTCTAACGATTTTCTGTTCAAGTGTAAGATAATGGAGCAAAGAGTTTGTAGGAATGGCGAGGAGAAGGTGGGGGATGGGGAAGGCGTTTTTGATAAACGGTTTGTTGCTCATGGGAGGGGAACAATATTTCTGCTGACTCTCCAGCCGAGATTTCTTTTCCCTTTCTTTCTTTTCTTTTCTCTTTTCTTTTCCTTGCCCCCCCCTTTTTTTTTCTTTTTTAAGGAACGTCTGGTTTGGACGACTTTGTTTTGTCTCTCAGCATCATTGTAAGGCTTTTACTCCGGACTTGAGTCTTCGGCGTTTGGTTTTTGTGCAGAGGAAAGCATTTCCCTCCCCTCTGCAGGATCTCTCTGTTTCACAAACATGACCAAGGGGGTTAGCACTTTTTAGTATAAATAAACCGAGTGACTCCAGAAGGGTATATGTTTAGGGAACGTCTGCACCTGTCCCATTCTTTTTCCCGGGATTCCTGGATTTTAGTCTTTTAAGGGGATCCTCCCGTCGGATTGCTAGAGTCTTGCACTTATGACATGCACACATTTTCCATTAAAGGGGGTACAGAGAGGGTCTCCAAATGCGCGCATCCTTCCTAGCCTGTCTGTCTGGTCTTCGTGTGGCTCGCTATCCCTTCCCGTCCCCGGCTCCCCAACTCTGGCCCCTTCCCTTTGCGCCTGCTGCACTTGAACTTGTTTCTGGTGGAGCGAGAGGTGCGGGCTCCCGACCCTCGTGCAGCTTCTTCTCAAAGCCCAGGTAAGGACGGAGGCTCGTTCTGGACTGTGACAGGTCCGCACCAGCCGCTGAGGGAAGCAGTGCCAAAATGGGAGTCCAGGGAGAAGAGAAGGTCCCGGCACCAGGGGGCTGGGAGACCGGGGAGAGGGCGCAGGGCGCAGAGCCGAGCAGCCGCGGGCTGTTGCCACCAGCCCGAGCCTCCTTCGCCGACTATGCAGGCGGTTTAAAAGACTACAGGGCATGGGGGAGGCTGGCCGGGACGGAGGGTGAGAAAGGGGGGAGCTTGCGAGGCCAAGGTCATGGTCAGGCAGCCCGCGGGCCCTCTCTGGCGCCGCTGCGTTCCAGCGCGCGGCGTGCTTGGGACTCAGAACTTGCCCGCCCCGGGACCGGACCGAGCTCCGCGGCTGGCGCAGGGGCTAAGGGTGCGGACCCGGCGCGCCCGCTGGGTCCCCCGCCCGGCCCGGGGAGGCCGAGGTTATGGTCGCAGGCCTGGGCAGCGGCCGCTCCACCCCGGCGCCCGGCCGGCACGGCCCTAGCCCGCGCCGGGAGTTGTGGTCGTTGATCACCCCTCTCCCTGGCAGCAGTGGGGAGGCCGCAGGACCGCACAGGTGGAGCCCGCAGCCGTGGCCGGGCACTCCCGAGGAAATCGGGCCCAGGGGCACCTACGTCTGGCGCCCTATAGGCTGGCCTGGGCGCACCGAAGCCGCTGCAGGGGAGACGGCGAGCTGGACGGGGCGCGCGGGCCCTGCCCGGGCTCTAGCCCTGCCGGTGCTGATAACCAGTGTTTGGAGTGGCTTTTCAGGCAAAGCCCCCTGGCAAAGTCAAGCAGCCGCTGGCCGGCTGCAGCCACCCCAGCTCCCAGGAGAGCCCCATTCCCCCCTCCCGAACTTGGCCTTTGGTAACCCGGTCCAGTGCGTGTGCGCTCTCCCCGCGCTACCCTCCAGCTCTTCTGGGGAAGTGGCAAACCGCAGCTTGGGGCGGGGAGAGGGGGAGTTGCGTTTTCCTCCCGCAGAGACCCCCAGGGCGCGCCCGTTTGGAGGTGTGGAGGACGCTTAGGAGCTGGTCGCCTCTGGGGCGTCGCTCGGAGCCCAAAGCGGGGGCTCCCCGCAGAGGAGCAGCCACTCCAGCCGAGAGGCCAGGAGGTTCAGGCGGGGAGGAGCAAGGGGCACGGGAAGGGTTAATCGTGGGCGAAGTAGCTCGGAAAACAGAACTGGTGGTGGGTCGGGCTGGTGCCCCCCCGCACCTCGAAGCAACCTGCTTCCCACCCCCGGGGCCCTTTCCTAGAGTTTGCTTTGCAGCCGGAGGCAGGAGCTCCGAGAGGCTGCTCCAGCTGGGCGCTGCCCGGGCTGCTGCATGAAGTCCAGAAGCAGCGAGCTCCCGGGAAGCCGGCCCTTTTAGAAAACACCAGGCCTGGAGAATTATGTAAATTTAAAGGAAAGATGGCAGGCCTCCGTTCTCTAAAAATAGAATGTAGGCATCTTGGTATTAAATGCCAAATGAGAAACCAGCAAAAACCATTTTTCCCTCTTCACATTATTGTGTATCGTTTATGGGTATGGCGTTCTGTAGCCTGTCACCCAGGCTGTGTGGTGAGCTGACTTCTGAATGCGGCTGGACAACAGAAAGAAATTGTTTCCCGCTTTCTTACTTCTGCATCATGTAGACTTCACTGCAGATACGCGGGGAATAATCATGAGGGTGCATTTATAAGTGCAAGATATTATCCAGGTTACAGTGAAAGCGTATCCTCATACAGGACAGTTTTGGTTTAGTAAGTTGAATTAAGAGTGAATTCTTTTAAAATGATCTACGTAACAGCCTTCTTCCTGCCACCAGATACTGTCACCTTTTCATTTCATTACAGGTGGAAATGACATTTTTAGGGTCCTCTCTTATGTGCCTAAGCCACCTCCTGACATTCTTAGTAGATGGGTTTTTTCCCTGTGTTATCAGGATATTTTTGTTATGAGGTATACTGCGATGAAGAAAAGCTGAGAAAAATACTGGCCTTCGCAATTAAATTGACTCTGGATACCAAAATGAAAATAATCATCTGGCATTAATCAAGTTGTGTCTCTGCTTCTTGTTGAGGGAAAATATAGTGACGGTTTGCTTTCCTTTTCATCTGAAAAGGACTGTAAAATGTTGAATGTTCCATAAAAATCACTCTACCCAATTTCTGTTCAATTAATCAAAATGCATATTTTCATACTGGACACAGTTACATCAGAAAGAAAATTTGCTGCAGCCACTTTAACAATGTTTCAAACAACCCCTGCAGTAACATGTAGCAACCAGTGACCTTGCACATTACATCAATCTTTAATAATATCATTGTCATTACTATTATTATCTTAAGTGTTAAATTGTTGCCAGAATCAATACAAGTCTACTTCTTTGAATATATTTTATCCCAGTGTTGTTTTTAACATCTTTGTTAAGAGGCCAATTAATTTCCAACTCATAGCTCCAGTGAAGTTTGTATATAATGAGGGCTCCCTGACCATTTTGTGTATCTGTGCTTATTTCTCCTTTTGAAAGAAAGAGGACAGAGAAATAAATGGCACGTGAAATCAATGACTTGCTGTCTAAAGTGATAAGGAATTATTCCCAAACTGACGAAAGAATAAAATATGCCAAAACTGAGTGCAAATCACTGTTGAACTCATACTTGTTTAGTTTCTTTTTTTCATCTGAACAGCAGGACTGATTTTCTGGAATTCTATCAGATTGTATAGCTTAGCAACCCCTCCACAGTCACCAGAACTAGAGGGATTTTTCTAAGCAGGGTGTAAAGGCCTTAACAACAACAACAAAATTGTAATATATTTGTTTGTTTTCTTCTAGATTTGTTGGTGTTAACGCGTCTGACATCAACTATTCAGCAGGCCGCTATGACCCTTCAGTTAAGCCCCCCTTTGACATAGGTTTCGAAGGTGTCGGGGAGGTGGTAGCCCTGGGCCTCTCTGCGAGCGCCAAATACACAGTTGGCCAAGCTGTGGCGTACGTGGCACCTGGTTCTTTTGCTGAGTACACAGTTGTGCCTGCCAACATTGCAACCCCCTTGCCCTCGGTGAAACCCGAGTATCTCACCCTGCTGGTAAGTGGCACCACCGCATACATCAGCCTGAAAGAGCTCGGAGAACTGTCTGAAGGGAAAAAAGTTTTGGTGACAGCAGCAGCTGGGGGAACAGGCCAGTTTGCCGTGCAGCTTTCAAAGAAGGCCAAGTGCCATGTCATTGGAACCTGTTCTTCTGATGAAAAGTCTGCTTTTCTGAAATCTATTGGCTGCGACCGTCCCATCAACTATAAAGCCGAGCCCGTGGGTGCTGTCCTTAAGCGGGAGTACCCGGAGGGTGTCGATGTGGTCTATGAGTCTGTCGGGGGAACCATGTTTGACTTGGCTGTAGATGCCTTGGCTACCAAAGGGCGCTTGATAGTCATCGGGTTTATCTCTGGCTACCAAACTCCAACTGGCCTTTCGCCTGTGAAAGCAGGAACGTTGCCAGCCAAGCTGCTGAAGAAATCTGCCAGCGTCCAGGGCTTCTTCCTGAACCATTACTTGTCTAAGTACCAAGCGGCCATGGACCACTTGCTCAAGATGGGGGAGAGTGGAGACCTGGCTTGTGAGGTGGACCTCGGAGAGCTGTCTCCGGAAGGCAGGTTTACCGGCCTGGAGTCTGTATTCCGTGCCGTCGACTACATGTACATGGGGAAAAACACTGGAAAAATTGTAGTTGAATTACCTCACTCTGTCAACAGTAAGCTGTAAAAACAGAACAATGACATAAATCAAAGGAGAAAGAAAATGGGTACTTTATGCCGCAGAATTACTCAAATCAATTTATTTTTAGTTGGTAATGGATATAATATTTCTTAAAACAAAAGTAAGATATTAATGAATAGGTTTCTCCCTCTCTGTTTTTCTCTCTTTTTGCTCCTCCCTTGAAAAAAAAAAAAAATGTGCTAATAAAACTTCCCTCCATGGCTAAGAGGTAAAATGTTTACATTTAATTCTTTGGTCACGGACAGTCTCATTCCAGATTTTATTGTTCCAGGGAACTAAATTAATTCCTGATGCAAGATCTGATCAAATCAGTATGTCTTCAGCTTGATGAGATTTTAAAATCAGTCTTGAAAATAGTTCACAAATTCCTCTTTGCTTTGGGAGAATTTGGTCTCATGCTAATAAGTACTTCCTAAGCCAGCGATGCAGCGAAAGCCAGCCGGCCACGTGTTCTCGGAGTCCACATCCTGAGGAGACGGCCCCCTTTCCTCCAGAAATCACTGAGCAGCTATCTAAATAGAAATGTGAGGGAATTCTCCCCCAAATTCGATTTTGTGAAGTTATTAGAAAAGTGGTTAGGTGAACACAGATGTATTTTCAAGAAGTATCTGTTACTTAATGGCTTTTCTCTACGGTCATCCTGGGGAGACCCGTGAATGGAAAATTTATCTGCCCTCCTAGGAAGCAAATTCATACTGAAAACTTACGTAGGCAGAAAGTAGGTTTTGGAAAGGGAGACTACAGAGATTAGGGGGACTCGGTAAAATTAACACATGCAGGAAAGGTAAAGCGTGTGCTACACTCACAGTGAGGGTTCACGTACACGACGTGGACCACAGAAGGGAAAGTGCTCTCCAGGCTCCCGGCGGGGGATTAATAACAGCGTACGCCGTGTGCCTGGCGGAGGATGTATCAGATAGCACTGTGCACAATGGGGACCTAAGGGATCTAAAATAATAATACATCTGCTTCTCCTCGGAGGCTTTCAGACGTGGGAGGTGCGGGTTATCTCTGATTATGGAAGCACAGAACTGTGTTCCCATTTCACTTCTCCAAATGTTCTGGTGGAATGACACGCTGATTGTCACCATCGCCTGATGTGACACAGGCATCTACCGGCCACACGTGAGAAGTCTCGAGATCTGCGCCTTCTCTGAGTCGTGCCCATGGCTCATCTGCTTGCCTCTGAACCTGCATGCCCCAGGACGGCGGCCGCTCTCGTCGTCACGTCGAAATCCCACGGTGCCCTTCTCATTGAAGGGGAAGCCCACCCGGCCATTTTTCAAAGTCTTGGGCTTCAGTGTATGTAACATGCTCAGTAAATATGAACGCAATTAAAGAGGCTCCAGGAAAAGTTGGAGACCATGTTTAATTTTTCTTGCCTTCCACGTGAGGAACAAGGAAATCCTACTGCCGAATAGCTGTTCGTATCTATTTTACAGGATTTACTCATTTTCGGGTACCTAATGTAGCTGCTAGCATGCATGCACAACAATACAATTTATATGGTAAATGGAACCAAATAATGGCTTCACTGAATGTTATGGCTGCACTGAAGGGAAATGTCACGGTAAATAGCTGCCAAATTATGGATCATGCCGAAGTGTCACAACTGCACTAAAGACAAATAGCACTAGAGGCTATTGCCACTGTGACGCGTTTGAGTTATGAAGAAGGGTAGCGGCCTGATGTGAGGCTCTTTGTGTCCTCATTATAGCAAAGGGTTACTGGTGCAGGGGACAAGGAAAGCTCGTCCAGTGTGGCGCTTAGTTATTAATCTGTCCCTTTCAGACCTAACAGCTGTAGCAAAACGGAAAGAGACTTTGCCTCGCTTTTAGACACACAAACAAACAAAGGGGGAGAAACAGGTTTTATGAATGTGACTGTGCACAGGAAATGACTGGTAATGGAAAAATGTCGTAATAAAATAATCTAATCACAGAATATTATTAAATTTAACATAGTATATGTCTGAAAGGCTTAGTTGCTTCTTATGCAGATAGATGTGTGAAATCTGAGCAATAATGTACTTTGTCCCTTTGTAAAGACTTGAGGAGTAAGGACATTACCAACTAAATTGCTTCTTCTAAACTGAAGTGAGTCCCGGTTTCTTTCATTTTAATGGGAGGGTAATAAAGATGAAAGACCAACATTTTAACTGATGGATCCCTTAAGCTACAGAATAGGAATTTATTATGTTTTCAGGGGATATACTAAATTCAGCTATGTAAAAATAAAATTCAAACACCCAGGTTTAAAATAAAATATAATCTGAAAACCTCATGTTCTCTCTTTCCCCAAACTAAGAAAGTACAGTGCATGCTGTTTTCATTTATTCTTAGAAAACAAGCATGAAAGATTCCGCCCATTCAGATAATGCCAAAAATATGTTTAAACTTTTTTTTTATTCTTTTGAAAAATGATTTGTAAATTGAGGGTCATAGTTCAGCATCAGTTTCATCTTCTGGGATTATTGTTCATGACGAGCCTCTAATGGGAGGTGCAATTGTGCAGTGGGCTCAACACCTTTCTCCAGAGCTGCATTACATATCACAAAAGTACATCCATAATTCAGGGCAATTGTCAGTCTTTGTTTTAGAATAGGGGCCAGGGTGGAACAATCACAGTGGATAAATTAGTTCTCAGTTCTCAGTGTGGCCTTCTCTGCACATCGGGCTTAAGGTCACTGGCCGGGCAGGGTGGAAGGAGCTTGCCTCTTGGGAAACCAAGGAGCCCCACTGATCCCTTCCCCTTCAGTTATAACTTCTAAAGAGCCAAATACTCTTCCTTTAAACTTGTTTTGCACATGAAAAATACCAACAATGTCATTTTGGGTCCCTTTGGTGATGTGATGAATACTTGCTGTTAACTGATTTCAGCATTAAAAAAAAAAAAAAAATCCAGGGAATAGTTTGCAAAGAAATGGTGGAAGTTTTGCAGGATATGTTCTATAAATTGTTATTATATGATTTCATCTGAATGAAGTTTCTCCAGAGTAGAATAGATCCTCTGTAAATGGCCATTAGTATTACGTTCAGTATTTATCTAATGAAAGTGCAGTGACAAGTAGCTGCTTCTTATTAAAATGAAAATCTTGCATTATGTACTCGAAGAACATTCCAGCTAATGAGGGTGTAATGTCCTCAGTGCAACACAGACCTTCTTTTTGTGTTCACCACAAGATGCTGGAAACTTGACAAATGATATCATTTAAGACACATGCCTGCCTTAGGGACCTGGTTTTTGGCTTTCTGTTTCTGGCTTTTATTTGGGTAACATTTGTAATGGCCACCCACTTGTACCTGGGTAGTGTTTTAACCCCTTCCCGGGAGTTCTCAATTAGCGTGAATTTACTGTAGTCAGGGTTCCCTTTCAGACAGTGTGGGGTGCTAAATGCTGAAAATAATTTTGTTGATCACTTTACCACATGGACATGTGGGATAAATACCCTATTTTAAATTTATATAAAAACACATGAGCAATGTGAAGCTTTCAGAATAAATACAATAAAAAAAGAGCAAGTGCTATCAACTTTGGATGATCATTCCGAAGGTGGTACAAGTGTTGAGAATGCAGCTCAGACGCAGAATGGCCTGACCTGATGAATTCATGGTTACTTTTCTCTCGTGTGTTGCACTCTCCCGTTTTATTTAACTTTGTTATGTATAGTACTTATTTAAAGACAAAAGATTTACCTATGCAAATTTTATGTTTTTTTTTTTTTTAAATTAAAGTCAGATTTTCTGGAGCTAATTTCCCAGTTATGGCCCCAAGTTAAATATTTAGGATCATATGTCAGAAGTCAAAATGCAAAACTCGATTATTGACACTGTTGGTATCGTCATCTTAAACTTTGAATGCTATTTTTACTAGACTTTTAGCATCGAGTTATTGCCACTCATAAAACGGGGAATGTTTGGTATGAGACTCTTACTGGTGTTACCGTGGAGAAACTATGGAACATTGGCAAAAATAAATATTAATAAATAAAATTTAGACAAAATTCACAAATAATGTTTTACTAACATGCATCAGTTCAAGTAATTCTTGGTAGTAGACAGTCGATATTCGGAGGTCAAATAAGGTGCATATTTCAATTTCCAGTCTTCTGGTTGATTCTTTCACTAGACCTGAGTAGCTGGTGAGCTGTGGTAGCAAGACTAAAAGGGATCTGTGTCACTACTGTCCTAGCATTGACTAGTGCCCACCGCATCCCCGGAGACACGAGGGTGCTCGGGAAGCATGTAAGGTAAGTACCGCGTAGAGTACAGTGTGGCGGATGCCAACATGAGTTTCATGGGTGCTGAGAAGCATGGATCCAAAAGTGCAGAAATTCAAACGCACCTCGTAAGGAAAAGTTTCTCTTGAAGGACGCTGACGGTATCCGTATGCCAACATGAAATTAAATTAATAATTAAACCACACCCTGCTGACAGGTGGTAGCATTCACCAAGAAAGACAGATTTGTGCTTAGAGCTCAGGAAAGGTTCCGAAATGTTGTTAGCTACTGTTGTGCCTTATCCTCTACATGTAAAGAGCTGGACAGAACCTTAGAATGACTCACGGGAACAGTTTTTGATCAGTGAAATATATAGAAACACGCTCAAGAAATCAAGGACGCCCCACATAGAAGAGCACTTTGCCTTGTACCCCGTATGCTGAAGCCAGGGTTCCCTGCCCGCTCCCGGGGCAGCCGATACTTGGGACTGGAAGCAGCCTGTGTCCCTCTCTGGCCCTGGTAAATGAGGAGATTTCGTTGCCCTTTAAGCGGTAAAATTTGGGATTTAAGGAATAATCTATCTCTACCCACTTTATAAATGAAGAAACTGGGACCCAGATAGGATAGGAGACTTCTTCGAGGTCACAGAGTCCACTGGACTCAGAAGTGAAGCTGGAACACGGGCAGACCCTGCCCAGTGTGTCTGGCCACGTCTCTTTGATCCTTTTGATCATTTGCCAAGGCCCTTGAGTATATGGCCTTGAGTATATGGTTAAGAGTGTTTCAGAACAAGTGGCCTTTGTTATTAATTTAAATCTTTTTCTGGATGAGATGATGATAAACCCTGTAAAAGTATCACAGTTCTGACCATGAAAGTGTATTCAATTCTTTAATCCAGCACAAATTAGGATTCTAGATCATTTGATTGTGTCACCTAAATATCACAGTGTTTTGAAGGTTAGAAAAAAAATACCGTCAAAGGAATTAATGGCTGAATACCAACAATTTAGTTTTAATGGACATGGAAGGTCTCATCTCCTATCAATGTATTTGTATGTATCAAATAAAGAAAATCAAATAAAATCGTGTAGAGTGTTCATGCTTTTCTAGAATGATTTCACCTATTTTTTTTTTTTTTTTTTGGTTTGGTTTTTTTGTTTGGTTGGTTTTTTTTGCCTGTAGAAAGTTGATGCTTGATCATCATAGTCTTTGCCTTCAGAGCAAAATATCTAGAATTCGAATTTGCTGTTCCACATGAAATGGAATTCTGAATCCTACAAACTCAGCTCCTTGGGGGGAGGATTCATTCACCAGGGGCAAGGAGTATTTGAAGGTGAAGGGGATACATGTGGGGAAGACATCAGTGGGTCCACGTCTCATCCTCACATGTGGCAAGAACCGCGTCCTCTGGACAAATGACAGATCATAATTAAGGCTCAGAAACAAGCCCTTCAAAACCACATGACATTGAACATTCATGTCTCTCCACATCATTTCTGTCTTCCTTCCCTGGAACTCATGCATAACAAGCGTAAACTTTCAACTTTACATGAACAAATCCTTTCCCAATAGAAACAGCTTCTTTTAACATTGAAAAACCACTTCACAGGAACGGCAACAATGTCAAAGGCAATCACATTTTGTAGAAAACCTCATTTCTCACCGGGGGACTGGTAGCAATAGTGTTCCCTCTATATGTTGTTGGAATTTACATTTGGAAATTGAATTGTCTCCTTGAGGGTTTTTACTCAAAGTAACTTTTGGAGAATTACTTACATCCGGGTACATCAGAGTCTATGGAATGAGGGTGAGTTGAAGGAGCCCCCATATCACCCTGGCTGTAAAAAATGCTCATTCTTTAGCTCAGTAAAATTAAAATGCTGCCATTATCATTATTGAAGATCATTTATCCTTTCACCTTTTACATATGCTTTTTATAACATCTTGGAACTTAGTTAAAAATGTGACATATTTGAATACAATGTCACCATCTTCACCTCTTTACTACTAAATAGGTGAAGATGAGTGATTCCCATTTTAGAGATGGAAAAATGAAAGCACAGAAAAATGACCTGCCCAAGATCACGTGAACAGAGATGGGGGCCATGGGTAGTTCTCAGACCAAGGCTGTTTTTCACTAGCGAGGGGTGCTTCTCAGACTTGCTGTGTACTCTAGTTACCTGTCCCAGCGCTGGTCCTAATGCTGGGGCCTGGGCGTCTGCCTTTCCCAGGTGACACAGATGCTGCAGGTCCAGGGGTGCTCTTTGAGTAGCAAGCTCCCAGATGACACCGCCTTTGAAGAGATTCCCATCATGCAAAATACTGCTATATCAGGCATCTCAGAGCAACCTGCAGGCTACCCAAGTATGAATTACAAAAATGAGAGTTTGACGTAACTATGAAAATGGCTACTTTTTATAATCACATTTCCAACTTCCTTAAATGAACCAACCACCCCTTCTGAAACTCAGCTGTGACACCTGCCTGAGTGCCTGATATTCAGGGGGCTCTGGGGGCAATTGTCTCCATACAGTTCTAAACGGGGCAGCAGGGAAGCCCAGACCTGGAGCTGCTCAACGCAAGGGTGACCGGCAGGCCGGGCCTCTGTCCTCACTGCCTGTTCCAACAGAGGCACAGCTCAAAAGGACCTCAACCCCTGGGTATTTATTTTCCTTCTGCTTATCTGGTCTAATTCTTTGTCATGCCAGAGCTTCCTCCCCCTGGCCTGGCAGTCACCAATTAAACCTCAGTCC